ATGTCTGAGGTCAGATTTGAACTCAGGTCTTTCTGACTCTATCCACTGCACCACCTAGCTGCCCCTATCATGTTGGAGAACAGAAACCAGGCCACTCTGGTCGTATTGTAGAGGGTGGGGAGGGAAGTGCAATAAGATTGGAAAATGAAGAGGAGATCAGGTTACAAAGATTTTAAAATGCCAAATAGAAAACTTTATATTTGATCCTGGAGGTAATAGGGAGTCACTGGAGATCATGAGTGGGAGAATGGAAAAAAATCACCCAGGCAGCTGAGTGGAAGAGTGGGAAGAGACTTGAGGTCTCAGACAAACTAGAAGGGGGTTGCAATAGTCCAGGCAAGAGGTGATAAGAACCTGAACTAGGGTGGTGGCTGTGAGAGTAAAGAGAAGGGATCACATGTGGCGAAGGTAGAAATGACAAGATTTGGCAAAGGATTGGATGCGTGAGACAAGTAATGCAAGTCAAGGATAACACTGAGATTTTGGGCCTCACCTACTGAGTACATAGTAATATCCTTACCAGTAATAGCCACGTTCAGAAGAGGGGAGGGCAAGACAGGGAAAATAATGGGTTCTAGTTTAGACATGTTGAGTTTGAGATACTTGCTGTGACTCTGTGTTGAAATTGTACAGAGCTCTTAAATGATCTAATTGCCTTCATTGCTCATTAATACTCTTCAGAATGGCAGCATGGTATGGTGACCAGAGTTCTGTCCTTGGAAGATATCAAGTCTTACTTATGTCATAAGCTATCATTGCGACCTCGGATAAGTCATTTAACTTCTCAATGCTTCTAGGCAACTTTCTAAATTTAAAAATAGCAGAGCTCCTCTTTGTGGTGGCAAACAATTGGAAATTGAGGGGATGCTCATCAATTAGGGAATGGCTGAACAAATTTGGTATATGAATGTAATGGAATACTATTGTTTCACAAGAAATGACGAGCAGGCAGATTTCATAAAAACCTGGAAAGACCTACATGAACTGATGCTGAGTGAAGTGAGCAGAACCAGGAGAACATTGTACACAGTAACAGCCATGTTGTGCCATGACTAGCTTTGATAGACTTAGCTTTTCTCAGCAATGTAATGATCTAAGACAATTCCAAAAGACTCATGAGGGAAAATGCTATCCACATCCAGAGAAAGAACTATGGAGTCTGAATGCAGATCGAAGCCTACTATTTTCTCTTTTTTTCTTTCCCATGGTTTTTCCCTTTTGTTCTGATTCTTCTTTCACAGCATGACTAATGTGGAAATATGTTTAATATGATGCACATGTATAGCCTATATCAGATTGTATGCCATCTTGGGGAGGGAGGAGGAGAGGAAGAGGGAAAAATTTAGAAATCAAGATCTTACAAAAGTAGATGTTGAAAGCTAAAAATGAATAAATAAATAATTTTTAAAATTTTTTAATGTCATATCTGGTACAGTTATGCATTTGTAAAAAAACACTCAATTGGAACTCCCTATACTGATGAAAACATGGGTCTAATTTAAAAAATCATTAGGTAAACTAGAAGTGTATTTTCTTACATGTACTTTTACTGCAAAAAAATTTTGGACTGAAATGTGCTTTTTAAAATGACCTATAATACTGTTCTTAGGGTACATGCCAGGAGATTAATTTATATGTTGGTAGTCTTGGATGGATTGTGAGATGAAGCCAAAATAAACAGAATTCAGATTATACTGAATACCCCTTAGAGCTATGGTGTATTTCACTAAGTCATTTGTTTACAAATAAATTTCTCCCAGACATTGTCTTGCTTCTCAATCTGTTTTTTTATGAAATTAGAAAGGGTCCACTTTGTATCATCTAGAGATGTTTAAGGAATGAAGAAACTTTGCTTCTCCCCAAAGACAACTTACACAAATTTAAAATCCTCTTTCACATGGGTCGACAAACTCAATTGAAATCACTGGTCTTTCTCAAATCCAAACTGAATTTTTCTTCCCCAAACAGATACAAATGGAATAAATCAGTCAGGTCCAGAGATAAGGTTTGACTTAGCAGCCTCATTTTGCCTACCTGCTCCCTCAACCTTCCTCTAAATCTACCCTGTCTTCCATAGGGTGATGGGGGAAGGGAAAGACAAACTCATTTAGGTGACAGAAATGTGTTATATTGGAGAGGGGAAGTACTGTTCTAGAAGTCAAGACAACTGCATTCCACTCTGGGCTCTACACTTCATTTACTAAGTGACTTTGGACAAATCATTTCGCTAAGGACTTGGTTACCTCCGGTGGTTGGATTAGATGGTATTTAAGATTCTTTCTAGCTTTTGCTGTACTGTGGGTAGGGTGTTGAATTTGATATCATGAAGACTTGGGTTCAAATTTTTACTGAATACTTAAAGTACATTTGTGACTATGAGCAAGTCATTTAATCTCCCTCAGGAAATATAATAATAGCTATAGCATTCATATTACAAGGTTGTTGTGAGTCTCAAATGATTTAAGATATTTTGCAAAAACACTGCAAAACACCATATAAATGTCAATTATTATTATAAAAGACTATGAAAGGTGGTTGTTCCACATTTCCAAATAGCAGACTATAGGAAGGGGATTATTGATAGTGAGAATTTTCAATAATGGAACAGCACATACAGTACATGAGTAGGATGGTAGGGTTCTTCAAGATCAGGGGAAAAAAATATCTATCACTGTGACTGGAGAAGGAAAGGTCCCAGAGTTTTTTTGTTTGTCATATATTTTTTTAAAAGAAAATTATTTAAGCTATGTTTAATTTAGTAGTCAATGTAAATGCTGAAAATCAGCTTAAATGAAGGCTGTTACAACCTGGAAATATCCTCAAATTAGTATCTATTTGTAGTCCCACTGCTATCCTCCACATGTCACTTACGTAGAACACTACCTTCAGTTTTGACTAAATCAAATCTAAGGCAAAATCCAAATTTGGAGACTAAGATTCTATAAGCCCCCATGTAAAGGGATTTTGCAGATAGAAGTGAATGTTAAATTTCTGCACCTATAAGGACTTCGTGTAAAAATTAGCAGTTCTAAAGTTATTTTTATGTGCATATGATATATATGTACATAAATATATATGTAGTCAATAAGCATTTATTAAGCGCATACTATATGTCAGGCACTTAAGCACTGGGGATATAGAAAAAGCCAAAATATAATCCTTCCCCTTTGGGAGCATAAATATGTACATCTATCTCTACATATCCCTATTTCTATACACACACACACACACACATATATATAATCAATAGTCAAACACTTATTATGTATGTATACTTATATGCATACATGTATATATAATATGTATATATATACACATATATTAATATAGCTAACATTTTTATGGAGCTTGCTATGTGCCAGGCACTGTACAAAGTGCTTCATAATTATTATCTCATTTGGTCCTCCCAACAAGCCTGAGAGTAAATGTTATCATCATGCTCATTTTACAGATGAGGAAACAAAGGAAAACAGAATTTAAGTGATTTGCCCAGGGTCACGCAGCTAGTAAGTGTCTTTCAGTTCTTCCTGACTCCAAGCCCAGGGCTCTACCCATTGCTCCACCTGTATACAAAGAATAATAATGTTAGAAGCTTCTAATAGTTTTTCTATTATATAGTTCTACACCCAGAACCGTAAGCTATCTTTTTGTTTTTAACGTTCAGTTCTGTCTGCAAAATCTTTAACATTGGCGGCTTATAGAACCTAATTCCCAAATAATTAGATAGATAGATAGATATAGATAGATAGATAGATAGATAGATAGATAGATAGATAGATAGATGGACAGATAGATGATAAAAGGATGGATGGATGGATGGATGGATAGATGAGTGGGTGGGTGGGTGAAGGGACAGATACAGATACATGTGTGTATATATGTACAATACATATGTATATACATGTACATATATATCAGAGAGAAAATGGCTGGATGTATGTGTATCTATGGATATATGTATACACATATATATGATCACACCTATGTAGCCATTCATATGCACATATATAGCCATAGATACATATATCCATATATGCACGTGGGTATGTAAGCATGTGTGTGTGTATATATATATATATATATATACATATGTGCATGTATGCATGAATGTATAATCAGCATTTCTCAAAAAGAAAAAAAAGTCTAGTCACATTTCAAAATCGTCTCCCCACTTCCCATTCCCATTCCCTACCCCCATACCCGCTTATATATCACTAATAATGGTTTCTGGCTACTGTAAATTACGTTAAAAGCACAGAAGCAACTACCGTGGCCGCTTGCTCCTTGTAGAAATTACCTCCTAGCCCCGCTTTGTAATGCGGAAGGAGGAAACCCCCGCCACCGCTGTTTGGCTGCGTCGCAGCGGTTGTTGATGTAATCTCCCAGCCCAGCGGTGTTCCCCATCGCTTCCCGCTTCCCCACCCCCCTTTCCTCCTGCAGACTGAGACAGAGTGCAACTCTTCAGCCACAATAAAGGCTTTTTGTAACTCGATACCTTTGCCCACTAGCGCTGAACTGCTGGAAGGCGGGACGGCGGAGGTGGGGGAGGTAACCGGTATGCCCCTTCGCCTTCAGTTTCCCTTGGAATCGTGATCTCTCTCTCTCCCCATCAAGCCCTTTCCTCCCACTGGGCCTCCAGCGGAGGCTGCTGCTGATGCTGCTATCACAGCTGCAGTTAGAAGTGCATCCCAGGCTTTGGGAGCTCATTTGGAAGATGCAGGTGGTGTTTCTCTGGTTTGGCCGGCCCCCACAGTCTTGAAACTCTCTCTCTCTCTCTCTCTCTCTCTCTCTCTCTCTCTCTCTCTCTCTCTCTCTCTCTCTCTCTCTCTCTCTCTCTCTCTCTGTCTTTCTGTCTCTCTGTCTCTGTCTCTGTGTGTGTCTCTCTCTGTCTCTCTGTCTCTCTGTCTCACACACACACACACACACACACACACACACACACACACAGAGCTTCGAGCTTCGTGCCCTAGTTGGGTTTCGGGTTCTCTTCTCTTCCCCTTAGCATCTAGGGAAGGGCGGTGAGAGGTTTGCACGGGATTCTCCGTGTGTCTCTCCTATCGTCCTCTCCTCATTTAAGGGAGTTTGAGAGGGATCTTTTGCTGGCAAGAGGTACCTCGTCATTTCCGCTAGTTTGTGTGCTGTGCCTGGGGTTTTAATCTTGCAAGAGGAAAGTCAGGGAGTTTGGGGGTTGGAGGGGCTGGAGCTTTGGGGAAAGAGAGAGACATCAAGGCACTGCTGGAGGACTGGAGAGCTCGCCTTCAAAGCCTTGGTAGAACAGCCTCCCCCTAAGACGCCCTAACCTAACCCTAGTCTTGCTTAAGGAAGCAGCACCTAGGAACTGTGGTGGTGGCGGCAGCAGCAGCAGCTTCGGGTGAGGGCAGCAGACGTCTGAGCGTGCTCAGCGTCCCCATCCTTCCCCCCACGGGAGAAGACAGCAGTATGAATTGGAACCCTACATAGAGACAGAGACAGAGAGAGAGAGAGAGAGAGAGAGAGAGAGAGAGAGAGAGAGAGAGAGAGAGACAGAGAGACAGAGAGACAGAGAGACAGAGAGAGAGACAGAGGAGAGGGACGGAGAGAAGGAGGTGGGGAAACAGCTGAAGGGACTGAGCAGAAGGCGGAGGAGGAGGAGGAGGAAGAAGAGAAGGAGAGCTGCGATTCGGTGGCGTCTCCCTCCCTCTCCCAGGCTGGGCTGCCTGTCGCTGATGCTCTAGGTTGACTGAGAGAATTTACAGCAGGGAGTGCTACTGGGAAACCTGGTACAATAAGGCAGTTTGCTTCCCTTCCTTCGCTTCCCCGGCTCCCACCCATCCATCTACCCAGAGAGCACTCTATCCTCTCTGCGGGAGAAGAGGAACCAGAGGGGAAAAAGATAAGATTTCTAGGGTGCTTTTTCTTTTCGAATTCCTCGCCTGACAAAGAAATCGATCCCATTCCCAATGGCTCTTATAATGGAACCAGTGAGCAAATGGTCGCCGAGTCAAGTGGTGGACTGGATGAAAGGTAATTCCAATGATTCAGGTTGTGAGGTTTGGGAAGAAAGGGGAGGGGACGGAGGAGGAATTCTTCCTTTAATCAATTAATTAGTTATATTTTCTTCAATTTAGAAATACTCTGCAAGGCATGGCTAATAGATACAGAAATGCGTCTCATGAGCATTTGTTTTGTATTTTGAGTGGAATATCCTCTTCTAGCCCAGAGACCTACGGATTTCCCCCACCCCCACCCCCGCCGCCGACCGGCCATGATTTTGAATGGGTTGATGTTAGGGTTGGAGTTTTCTCTTGACTATCCTTTAATATACCCCCCCCCCACAACACACACACAACCCCCATCTTGTTTTGATTCAGTCCACCAATCTGGGGCCCTCTCTCTTCCTCCCCTTGCGCTTCAAGGCAGGTGTGCTTATCGGAGAAGATGAGGGGTTTCCTGGGGTCTACGGGAAGGTAGATTTCTCTTGCACAGGTTTTGCCCCAGTGCACAGCAAGCACAGGATAAATCCGTGCCACGGGGAGAAATCTTATAGCTGGCGCAGAGCTTGCCAGGGTAGAGCCAATCTGGTGCGGGGGCAATGAGAAAGCTCAGACTTTCTAAGTGATCTGTTGTCTCAAGCAGGTAGCAAAGCTTGGTTTAATCTGGGTAGCTTTTTAATCGTGTCTATTAAAATTCTCCTCTTTACCCCTGTGTTTTACAGTTACAGCAATAAGAAAGAAAATCACGAATGTTGTTGTTTATTTTTTGGTTTCACCTCTACCTTCTAAGATCCCAGACACCCACATGAAATCTCTTGCCCAATTACCTTCTCCACTCCCTCTTTTTTTTCTTCTTCTTAGTCTCTCTTCCCACATTTCCTTCCCCTCGACCTCTCTAATTTGCTATTTCGGGACAAATAGGAACACTAGTTCTAAGGCGATACTTAGAAATGATGAGGCGCTTCAGCGGTGTCACCACTGGTGCCGCGGTGGTGGTAATAAACGGCAGAGGCTGCAGGGTTTTCCCGAGTCTAAGCAGAGGATGCTCACCAGTGCTCTGGCGAATTGCTCTGCTTTGTAATGCACGATGCAAGTGGGATAGAAGAGACGCGGGAGGATTTCCCTCAGGGACCCACCCGCCAGGCAGGCCGAAATCAATTGTTTTCAGTGCTGCCAATTCACCCCCACTACCACCCCCTCCCCTTCTGGTTCACTGCAGACCGGACTCGACAAAAATACTGAAGCCGCTGGAGCTTATGTGATCGCTGATGATACATTACGATGTCAGAAACTGCTAAAGAGCTCTCTCCCCTATTTGCCGTCTTCTTTTCCCCCCATCCTGAAATGTTGCTGCCTCCTCTTTCCCACGTGTGATATGTTTAATATTAGATGTAGATATAGATATCCATGCAGATGTAGATAGAGATATCCATTCCTAAACAGATTTCATTAAAAGACAGACTTCTTAAGAGTCCATTTCAGCTCTCCCTGTCTTCCCTAGAACCTTTTCATAAGAGTAGGCATTGCTCCCCTGCACACACACCCCAACAACAAAACAAAATCCCATATTACCTACTACGAAAATGTTGGAGAGTTTAAGAAGAGAAAGGGATTTATCTGGATCCACACAACATGTATTTTTCATGGTCTTGAGTTTGGAGATGAAAGTTCACTAGCAAGGGTCATAGTTAGTTATCCAAAAGTGAAGAAGCTCTAGATGGAAGCTCACAAGACTGCTTATCATTTATCATTTATGAATGTGCTTTAGTGCAGAGATAAGGTAGCTTGACTCTCTCTGTGTCAGGTGAGTAGGCACAGCCCAGAGAAGACTGGAGAGATTTCCTCTCCCTCTCCACCTCCCCCCCACCCCAAATCTCTTTTCCATTTTTATTAATTTCTTATTTCTTAATGTGGGAGTTTATCTATCTATCTATCTATCTATCTATCTATCTATCTATCTATCTATCTATCTACATATTATCCTTTTTCTTCCCTTTTCCATTTAGTTTGCTTTTCTGAGTCATTCATCTTCGGTTTCTTTCTTTTTCTTTTTCTTTTTCTTTTTTTTTTTTGATACTCCACTTGTAGACTTTGTTTTTGCCCTTCGTCTTCCGTCTTTTGGAAATTTCCCTTCAATGCCACAGCTATTTCTTCTAAAGGAAGAGAAGCTGTGCTTGCCTTCTTCTATTGCAAGCAGGTCCTGCTCATCCAAGTAAGGAAGGCTGTGACACATGGGAAGTGGAAATACTGAATTATTAATTGAATAACTAAATATTCCTTTGTAATTGATGGAAAGCTCACTTCAATTTGAGTCTCTGGCTAAACTCCCCAGAGAAAAACTGTTTTGACTTCATAGGTACTCATATTTTCTGTATAAACACAGAGTTTTGTCCTTCCTCAAAAGTTCCCATGGTGCCCCTAGGCAGAGTATCTTGGGGGCATCATGACACTCATCCTCCATCTTCTCCCTCCTCCTTACTTCTCCCCCCTTCCAGAAAAGTGCAAATTTTCCATTCCCAATCCTATTTTGAAGAAAACTCTCAACAGTTTTAGGGCCACTGGCACATATCCAAAATATCATAACCAAGTTGTGTTAATACATTGTAAACTTTCTGGACCACTAGTTATACGTTTAAAATTGACCCACTTTAAACTACCAGACATTTGAAACCAAGCTAATATTTTTTTAGCTATCACATAAAATGGCTGTTGTTATCTTGAAGTTGGAGAACAGGTTTTAGTACCTGTTGGTACTAAAAGACTTCAAAAGATAAAAGCAAGGCACCTGAGAACCAAAATCACTGAGTACCTTGTGTGCACAAAACCATCCTGAATTGGAGAATTGAAACAATTATTTCAATGATTCTGGTCTCAAGTCACTTAATAATAATATAATTAATTGATTTGAAGACTTGGAGACATCTCTAGATTTCTTATGTCATCACATTTAAGCTTAGCTATAAATGGAATGTCATCAGAAAAACAGTAGCTGAAACAACAATGGAAATAGATATTTCTTTAAAGGTGTCTTAAAGGTATGTTACCTGTTTATTTTCCTTTCTCTAAGCCTTTTCCCAAATGAATTTTATTATAGAGCTTTGGGAAAATAACTTTTAATCCCTGCCAGAGAAACATTAATATTTAAAACTTCACTTTAATTTAGGCTGCAGCTGTGGTATGGATCAATCATGTTCAGAGCATTGCATATCTTTTTATAAAGGCAACACGAAAGGATGAATATGACTAGAACAACTGCAGCATTGTGGGAGTTCTCAGCATGCTACACCCTACCGATGTGACAGTTTCATCATCCTGAAAATGTAAATCAGATAGCATATGTTTTCGGATATTCGTGGTCATAAATAGTTATAACTGTGTGCAGCAGTGCACACTTAGTGCTCATTCTTGAGTACTTTTATATTTGCTGAACTGAAAAGAAACTATTAAGCAGCCATAAAAAATGGCATGGCCATGTATTTTTACAAAACACAATTGCTGTATATTTTAAAAGTGATACATGAACTTAGCAATCAAAGCAAAGAGAGAAGGGTAAAATCAATGAGCAAAAGTTGCCAAGATTTGTTAACAATCTACATTATATTTTGTTCAAAATTACTTTGTTAAATAAATTTCTTCCTGTGCTAAAAAATAAATATGTAAATAAATTAAATGACAAAAATTCAGTTTGTTACAGAAGAAACTCAAATACAAAATGTGTATAGTAAAGATCTGTACATTACACATACTGGGTGCTTAATAAATGTTATTGGTTAAATGAATTAATGGATTTTCATTCTCTGCCTGCTTTTTGAACTATTTACTTCCTCATCTACACACACACACACACACACCACACACACACACCCTTTACTGGAAAAATCTATAGCTTCCATAAATTCTATATTACTTCCATAAATTTTATAAGTCTGTGGCAGTGTTAGTCCTAGAAGAAATATCAGTTCTCTGTGCATTAGGGGTCTCAATCCATAATTGCGTCTAAAAATTATCATGCTTTTATATATGAATATCTGAAAATAGCTCACGAGTCAAAGTAGTTATTTTAAGCCTTAAGTCTTTGAGTTGAGAAGAAATTCTCCAAATGGAGACTAAATATTTATTACATCAAATTTAATTACTTGAATTTGCAGTTTTGATTAGATTTAAACTTCAACATCATTTTCAAAAGCCATGAAAATAAATTGGCTTTTGGAAATGTAACTCTCAAATAAACAGGGCAATGCTATAAAAAAAATTGCTGAATTCAAAATGTTTCATTATCTTTGACACCCTTCCTAAATTGTCCAACTGCTTGAAATATTGTTTAACTGTGTTTATTTTGACACCCATCATCAAAACCTTTGCCAAAGTATATTTTACATGTAATTACTGTAACTTCCTTCTTCCCTTCCTGAGTTCTATCCCTTTCATGCTGAAAATGTGCTCTGTATCAAAGCTAAAGTCATTTCCTGCAATAATTTTCCCTTACCCTAAGGGATCAAATCTGAATGTTTGATTATTGCTAATTCAAAATCACTTATTCTCACTTAATTTTGTTATTCTCATTTCCCTCTATAGCTGAGTGGGTACACCATGCTCCCTATTAGTCCTCACTCCCCATTCTCCAACTATTTGGGTTATGGAATAACCTCCCTATTCTCTTTACCTTATTCCTGCCTTCAATTCACAGCTTTAGGTCTAATAATCATACTTCAAAAAACAAAATTAGATCTCTCATTCTCTAACATTGGAGTGCAACTATGACCGACTTCCTCCTTGAGGCACTTGTATCTGTATGCACATATTTATGTTAATTTCTTGCCTTTTTTTTATCTCAAAAGTTAACGCCCTCTTTGAGAGCGGATATATTTCTATTCCTTACTATATACACCTAAATGTTTAGCATATACCAAGTATTTCTTTCAATAAATGTGTATTGACTCATAAATTGGCTTTTAAGTGCATCATTTATAGTATGTATGATATTGAAAAGACTATCAAGAATGTTTTCTCCCAATTGATGATCCAAGCAAC